CATTTGCCCAAAAGATAGCAAAACATATTTTTCCTTGCATTATTGTATCCAAAAAGAATGGCAAGTGTTCTAAAAAATATTTATGTAGTGAAAATTAGGAGGATAAGCCACCCTGAAACATACTAGTTTATAATAAGACTCCCCATAACAAAAGATGATTGAAAAGAAGCAGATATGGGACTGGAGAGATGGTGTGGTGGTTAAGAACATGTGCTGCTCTTCCAGAGGACCCCAGTTCAGTTCCCAGTCCACAACCACCTGTAACTCCAGCACCAAGGGGTCTGATGCCCTCTTTAGACCTCTGTGGGCACACCCAAACATCTGGCATCCATCCATACACATAAAATAAAAATAAAATAAATCTTGGAAAAGAAGGTAATGAGAAAGCCTCTCTATTCTCCCCTTCTGCCAGGAAGGGCAAGGCGATTCTTATCATGAGAGACAACTTTCTTTATCACTTCAGCTGTAGCAATGCAGGAATCTCACAACCAGCCCTTCCCTCCCTCTAGATCCACCACTATTTACCTTCCCATAAATTGCCACCCATCCCCAGAAGCTCAAAGTCCTTTCTCTTTGTCTGTTACCTCTCCAAAATAATTACTGCTCTTTTATTAAGATGCTACTTAAGTCTAAGTTCCAGCTCTGCTCTGACTTACTCATCTCAGGGTATTCCCCTGCATGTGTGCAATGCATGCACCCATACACTTGTCTTTTGATAACCTCTCTGTTGTCAGTTGAACTGACAGGGTCCCAACCGATGAACCTAAAAGGGGTAAAATGCAAACATTGCTTTTTCTCTCCTTTGTAATAGATATTGGACACCTGCATGTAGGGTCAATGGTGAAAGAAAAAAGGGTCTGATGCATGGCAAAGAGAAAGTAATATGACCGAAGCCCAAAGGGTCAAAAGTCCTCAAATCAGCAAATACTCCATCGTGTGGTGGCTGTAAGGAGGCCAGAGTGTATATCTGGACTGGACTGCTCTTTTCAGATAGTTTCTTATTAAAAAAATCATACAATGACCCGACTTTCCTTTACTGGCATGCTACTATCCCTTGTAAGTCATTCTTACTGTCATTCTTTAATCCTTTAACACATTCTTTAACACATTGTTCAACCATGGCTGCATCCTAACATCTGTCATTGAACCCCATGAACCCTGGTGCTTTGATCCCCTCCCTGGATATGTGCACTGTGCTAGTATATTTTCTGTTGGTTTTGATAGATGTTTTGTTTTTTTTTTCGCTTTGAAAAGACATTCTTGTCCATGTATTTTTTCAGTTCCAAAGGCAATACTACCATGAAAGAGGCCAGTGGATGACACACCTTGTCGATGTCAGCATGCAGGGAAAAATGCTACTTAAAATTTTAGATTAAATTTACTCAATAATAAGCACTCACTTAGGAGCTGTTGGCCACAGCCACTGATTTCCAGAACCTACCAAAAGTCATATGTTACCTATGTTTAACTTCATAGTGGATGTTCAAGCCTTTTTATCATTTATGGAATTTAACTGTTTATTTGATGAAAAGTTTTAGCTGATTGGAGCATTTGCTAACTCAGCTTCAAAAAAATCACTGTTCTTAACTCTCAGACATACTATTCGAGGTTCTCACAGAAGCCAGAGCCAAGCTAGTGATGAACTTGACATCTAATTCTACAAATTATCCCCAACTTCTATTTTAAGGAGAGCAAATATCTTTCTCTTCTTCACTACTGTTAGATGAGTCTTTAAACTTTCTGAATTTTTCACAGTCAATATTTCACAAGGAAATATCAAGTATTTATCACTTCACTAGAAATAGATTCTGGGTGATTCACGGGCCTTCTTCCCAGCCAGGTGATTTATTTCCATATCCCAGACACGTAATATTTACCTAAGGAAGATTCAAGGCTGTATATATCATAGAAATTTTAGCTAACTCCTGACCAAATAAGGTATACATGTTAAATCTGTCATTGTACCTGCTGGAGTCAATTGAGAAACACCTCAAACTCTTTGTATATCTGATTTAATCTGTAAAGGGCCTGGTAGTTCAACTCTTCTGTTTTCTCTACTAACACAAGGTCTTTACTCAAAAGTTTTCTTGTCTGGGATGGAGTTTCTTCTTTCTTTTTTCTTTTTCCAGTGCTGAGACTCAAACCCAGAACTTCAAGCATGCTAAGACAAGATCTTTACCACTGAGCTCTATTCTCGGCCCTTATGATTGATTTTCTAAGTCTCTTCCTTCCTTTATATTTTCCCTTTCAGCAGTAAAACTCTCAAATTTGCTTTAAATAGAGTTGAAAATGTATCCCTCTGAATATTGCACTATTAATACATTTCCATAAAATACCATCTACATGACATGAGAGTGTCTCTGCTTACCATCCATGTATGTGAGCATGCACATGCCATCAGTGTGTATAGCAAGGAAGCAAATGAGAGAGTATCAGGATGTAAGGGTTTTTTTTTTTCTCTCTCTCTCTCTCTCTCTCTCTCTCTCTCTCTCTCTCCTCTTTCTCTCTAGCACACCATCCTTCCCTACAATTCAGTTAGCCCTTTGAGGATGGAAACCATGTTTTATTTATCTTTCTAATCTAGTGCTTGTAACAGTGCCTGGGACTATAAATAAATGTTGTTAAATAAATATGAGTTGAATTTTCTCAAGGCTAGTAGTAAAATCCCTTTTTGCTTTTCATGGATTACTTATCTAAAGATAAAAGTAGTTTAAACTTACTAACCAAAGGACATACTACAAATTAAGTATGAACAAATTACCATGACTTTACCAGTGCAGAAAGGGAAAGAGAAGGAAAGAAAACCTGTCCTTTATTCAGTATTTCCCACTGAGCCTTTCAGAGCCAAGGGGCAGAAACTGGAGCTTGGGCCTGACAGTGTTTCCTATTCACCGGCTCAAGTTGCTCACTTGACCATCTCAAATTCTCTCCACAAGGGGTGAAGTTTCTTTGCTACAATATGCCTTCAACTAAGAAGGGCTATAATTCTACATAGTCTCAAGGGTCCTGACCTTGCTCTTTTCATTCATGCAGTAACTCTCAGCTTTATTGTCGCTCGGCTTTCCAGGACTGACAGAGAGCAACATGCTTTAGGAACTGAGAGCAACCATCAAAAATGTCTGGCTCTGGGGCAACTGGATGCTCAGCTTTGGGGAAAAACAAAAGGACACATCCTCTGTGCTCCATTTCGCCCTTTGTGAAAAAGAAGACCCTAATATTTACCAACATTACCAAGCTATTGTGAGGACTAATTAGATTTAATGAAGGCAAGGAGGCAGAGCCAAGGTATTGTTCAAAGTGTCATTATTTGGTTTCTACAAAATTAATCCTGGTTTAGGAAGTAAATTAATTTGGAAACTGAATCTTTGGTACTCATCTTCATATAGTCAAAAAGTCAGTTTCTAATCAAAATCCCATTCTAAATAAAATTCAGGAAAGATAGAGATCTATGAATTTCCATCCATCTTTGAAGTAACAGTACACACTTCAATTCTTTTCTTTCTTATATCTTCTTTTTTATGATACATTATGGGTTGAAATGCTAATTTTGTATAATATATAAATGAACAGATTTTTGAACCAGCATTAATTTATTTTCCTGGTTTCATATAAAAAAATCACTCTTGAAGTCCTTCAGGTCACGCCTTCAAAGAATCATTTATCAAATGTTTTGTGGTTGAAAAAAATTGTTCATGTCATTTCTGAGAAATTCCATTTACATTTTTGTTCAAGAACTTAGCAGTACCCAAATCAAAACAAAAATAAATTCAAGGATATTCAAGGTCAAGCATGAAGGGGAGGAGGCTATTTATATAGAAATTACCAAAATTAATAAACTGATTAACTGAAAATTTTTATGAGATGGTGAAAATGAACCTGAGAAAAGTGGGATAACTAAGTCATACTTTTAAAGAGTTTTGGCTGGACAGGAATTCTATCAAGGTTTATTCAGAGCTATTCAGAGAAAAGGGACACTATGAAACCCACTGAACAGAAGTGTAGAATATACGCTCAACTGACTGAGCAACAGGAACAACCCTCTTGAGTTTAACACAGCTCTACTACTTAAACTCCCCATAAGACTTACAAATACTTGGAGCTCGGTTGGCAGAGTGCTTGCCTCTCATTTACAAAGCCCTGGGTTCATCCCCAGCACCACAGAGAAAACTAGGTCTGGTGACTCACACCTGTCTTTGGAGGTAAGGGCAGTAGAATCAGAAGTTCAAGATCATCCTAGGCTATACAGCAAGTTTTAGGCCAGTCTGGGATACATGAGACCCTGTCTCAATAATGAAAATAAAACAACAGCAACAAGAGTCTTACACACACACACATATATATATATATATA